AAAAATACCTTACTAAATCTCTCTCTACCCAAAGCTCTACCTCTCGCCACTGCCTAGACATAAAATTAATCCATGTTATAAATATATTTGTAACAGATGTCTCAGATATATCAAAAAGACGACTCAGTTCAAAATGAGTCTTGTATTGCCTAAGCTTGATAAGTGTCAAGAAAAATAGATTATCTATGCTTAAAAATTCAACTTTGTTATAAAAATAGCTTAGATGATAAGCACCCTCACCTAAACTATTAAGTGTAAATATAAAATCAGTATAATTTGAAAGACCAGTATAAAATAAAACAGCAGCATCATCCAGAATAAATTTTTCAATGTGAAATAAAGGTTGATTACATTGAGTTGAAGCTGAAACAAAAACAGGCTCTATTACTGGTTCTTCCTTTGACTCGGTAAATTCATTATCATCTGTTGAAACTTCTGTTATCTCCTTAATAGTAAACTCATCGTCTAAAACTATTACCTCTTCACTTGTGTTGTTGTTGTTGACATTGTCTTCCCTGGATAATCGTCGATTTAGTCTTGATTCATCTGTACATTCTTTAGACCACTCGAAAACTGATGGAACAGAATCTGTTTTACGTTGACGTCTCAAAGGTAGTGTGTCTGTAACCATAGAAATTAAATAGGTATAAGTAGAAGGTTACGTGTAAAAATGAACAAGCACACGTAAAAAAAAATCAAGAACATCTCATTGCACAAGTATTTGTGTACTCAGCAGCAATAATTTTCAATATACACAAACACAACCAGTTGTAAACAAAAACATGTTAAAAAGCATTGTGGAAATATTATATTACCTTGCCTGACACGCTATTGTTATCACTTCCATTGCTCTACCTAATTTTTCCCTGTCAATGATTAACAACCTGAAATAAAAAATCCTCTAGTTTTCAACTTGGAAAATAAAACCTGTGTACTGAACTCTGAAACATTCTGACACAATTCCATTTCTTGCACCACAGTTGCAGAGTTTTTACATACTTATTTACCTCTACACCTTTCATTTTAGTCCAAACTAATCCATGAATCTAAGAGATCAAATATCATTTCATCATTGCATGTCTAAAATTATTGAATTATGGAATTATTTGCATACTCTTACATTAATTTGTTTTATATTGCAGTACAATGTAACGGGAAAAGTTATCCAAATGACAGAAGTTATCAACATATTTATCCACAATACACACAAGAAAACTAGAACTATTACGGTCCATGATGGAACAGAAGCAGTACCTACCACAGCTCTTTTGCAAATTAAATTTCAAAACACAATAGAAAAAATTATTGCCACTGATGAGATCATTTCCAAATTGCTACAAACTAATGCATGTGAATCTTATGTGAAAATAACACATTAAAACCATTTGATTTGATTAAAAATACTGTTTGATTGATTATTGGGCATTATTTTACTATAAATATGTTTGTACAATTTTTTATAGTTTTTATATCCTACATGAAAAAATATTATCACTTCCAGAAAGTAAATATTATACAGGTATGGCAGGTATTTATTACAAATGTTCGATTATAATTAATTTTAAGTATTGCTTTGGATATATGTAATATGTGGAGCATGTGTATGGTTCTCATTAGGAAATAACTTAAGTTTTCAAAAGTGTTTCATGTTTTTTGTTTTTTGTCTATTCATTTATTATTATTATTTTTGTAATTAATTTTTTCTATTTTGTTTTATTTTTTTTTTATTGTTTGTAATATTTTTTTTTAATTTTCAGAAAAAAAATAGAAAAATTAAAACCACTGTGGCCAATCGTTCTCATTCTCATAGTAAAATATCAAGTCTCTGTGATTGAGAGATGTTTGGATTACAGTAATTTTCGTTCTTCACTAACACGTTTTATGGTGTTACTAGAAAGGAATTGCATAGATATCAATAGTAGCTACCGGTAGCTCCCCACTGGTAACGTCATAAAACGCGTTAGTTTTAGTGGAAATGCAAGAAACACAGACGTTGGAATGAAAATTGGAATGGTGCAAATTGATGCTATCAGTTTCCCCGATACACTTAAAAAGTTTAGAAAATCTATTTAAATATCAAATATGACAATAGACAGATCTTGGAAAGAAGCCAGTGATTGTAAGCGCTCCCAGAAGAGATTATGACAATTTGTCGCGTTACAGCTTTAATACATTGGATGAAATGTAGCAACCAAATCTTTTTATTTTGATGGGTCATCTAAAATTTCATTGTTATTTCAAATAATTCAAACATTTATTGTTTTAAAAAATGAACATACTTTTTCCCTTTGCAAAAAGATAAGGGCTTGTTGCTGGTATCTGGCAAGCTCTTCTGATAATGTCGTCTGCTAAAAACTCGACTGCCAATTGACTGTCTTCAGGAATAAGGACTGAAACAGCTTTGCCCAACTGCAATGACATAAAATATGGATTATATTGTAAAAAACAGTCAAATCTTATGTGCAATTGGTTGAATAGTACAATACTTGGTTTTTCAAGGTGTGCTTGCACCTTATCAGATATATATCCAAGATCACCACTTATTGTCTTGTGTAACTATGATGTGAATTTCTACTCACTTTTCCTCTGATTTCAAATAATTTTTGAGAGCGTAGGAGGTATTTCTTTACATCAGATAAATCTTCCATTAAACCCATCTCAATTTCATCAATACCTGTAGACCTACTCTTATACCATTCCAAGCTGATATATTTCAAATAAAACAGTTCAGGATTTCATTGTACATGGATCTCAACACACTAAACTATTGTTAATTTTTATTTTCATCATCTTATGGTATGTATATTTCATAACTCAATTGCTTTTTTAAAAACTCTAACTTTAATTTATATTCTGGGCTTGGCAGGGTTCGTTCTCCGTTAAAAGCCCTTTCATTTAGTATAGATTTGGCTACTTTTTTTTACATATGTGTTCCATTGCAAGTTTATTAAAACCATAAATTCTTCAGACTGAATTGTGTTGTCACCAGTATCAGAAAGGCGTTTCCTTCTGAAGAGCATTTCATATATGTACAAGTTTGAACTAATTTATTCCACTATCTGTAACTACGTTCAATGTAAAATTGCTGAATTAAAAAAAATATCTTGGATTACAATTTGTTCTCTGATGTTTTTCATTTTCCATTGTATTCTAATGAAATTTATACTAACAAAACAAAAAAAAAACCGTAAAAAAAATCACATTTGCTCATAATGTTAACAATTATCCGACTCCTTGTAATATATAGGCATATAAATATTTTCACTGTTTGATATACCACTGTTAAAATAGTGCTCTCTATCATTAATACAATACAAGTATTATACCAGAACCTGGAACACGTTTTACTCAAGAGTTTCATGCTGTGTAATATAAGTCAACTGATCTAATTCAGCCTGTATCCCTACTAATATACATCAGATATTTAATAAGAGATGGCATCTTAAAAATGAATTTATAACAGATATGCTAACAAACTATGTGATATATCGGTTCACTGTCATTTAATCACAATACTTTTAGCACATCCTTTTTAGGCACTGGGTCATTTAGGCACAGCGTTATTAAGGTACAGTGATTTAAGTACACCTTAAATTAATCACAATCTCTCCGAGAAATTTCGAAGGTTGCCTGAAAATATGCATGAAAACAACGCTGCTCATAATTTATCTTTTATAAACTGATTTACAGAAATTTTTTGTTGTGTACAAGTATTAGGGGGCATATTGAGGAGTTTGTTTTTGGGCATCATATCCTTTTAGGCAGCTATATTAAAAATAAAAGTTATTAAAAAAAAAACGAGACTGTTCACAAACTGTGTGAATTGTAACAGGAAATATTTATAATACACATGCAACAAATGAAGACATTGTACTTCTTTCAAACCATCTCAAAACTGTGGCGGGTAATATCGTTAGAATTCTGAAAAGCCAGGACACAACTGACACATGTATAGTAAATGCTTGGAAAGGTCTGAATGAAATTACATTATGTCAAACTATGTCCTTTAATAGATGAAGACTTCTATTAATATCATTTTCCTTAATATCAACACCAATTATTTTACCAACTTGTACTACAAGCTCATCAGTATAGATTCCCCCTCCACATCTGCGATTCATTGGTTCTGACTACTTTTCCCCTTAGGTACTGCTCATTCTCGTGTTGTTTTTCTGTCAATGCTACAATCAATTCATCTTTAAATTTTAACTCTTCCTCTCGATTCTCTACCTTAGACGTAAGGAATTCCATAATTGTTGTTTCCCACTTCCTTGGGAACAAAGATCCATCCGCCTCCTTACTTTTTTGATTGGCACGCAGACACTACTGGTGTTCAATATTTTCCTTGAAGATGGAATTCACTTCATTTATTTCATCTTTGGTCCATGGAATAACACCTTAAAAAAAACAGCAACGTACACAACTTGGCATTGATTCTATTTACGAAGAGTGGAAGTGGAATGTCTTAATAAAATGTACTGTAAATCTGTAAAAAGAAATTTCTAATAAATATGATTGTAAAACATATAATTTCAAAACAATCAAAAACAAAAATAACAACTACAGCCACACGTGGCACAGAGTAGGACCGATACACAAAAAGGCTAGAAATCCTCTTTACAATCCCTTCAATTCGTGTTGCTTTTGTTTTTTTTTTTTTTTTCAATATCTGTTGATTCCACCCCCAGAAGTGGCAACGTTTTAATATAATTTGTTATTTAATCTTAAAGAATTCTATTTGGAAGCAGACCTTTCAACCTCTGAAGATAGTACCAGTAGCCTTTTTCTATCGTCTCAACCAGTATCACCAGTTATTCATGCAAACAAAGCGGATTGGGCCGAACATGTTAATCTTGAGAAGTCTTTTTCAAAACTTCCTGCTGTTAAAATCTCTAGAAAGAGGTAAACAAATAACCTCAGAACAAAGGCGATTACTGGTGAAAACAATAATTGGAGACTTGAGATAAAATTCAGAAAGAATCACAACATCACAATTTCGTGTTATAGCAAAACGTATTATCGACAAATACGGTGTTCTCAAGGATGAACTGGATAGTCAAGTGGTTGGAACGGGCTATAGCAGTATTTTCAACCAAGTAATAAACCAAAATGATAATTTTAATCGAGGAAAATATACGAAGAAAAGGATCGAATGTTTAGTTAAAGAAACTCAAACCAAACTGACATCAAAGGACGCTTATGGGTGCATTACCTTCAACCCATCTGAACCTAATGTTGAATTCGTAGAAGAAAGTAGAAGGAGATTGTTGAAATGTCGTAAAGTTCAGAGGTCAACTGGACATCAGTTGAATATAACTTAAAGGAAATGTACCCTTTAGATTATTGCAATTGTTTCACAAAAATTTGAGGGTCAACCAACTTGAAAGGGAAATATGTTTGCGATTATTGGTGACATCTTCCTCGGGAAAAAGTTCTAATTGCATTGTACTAGTAGAACAGACCACTGTAAATCTGTTTGCGGTCATTTATTTCGGGAATGTAATAAATGTGGAGTGCAAATAAATAAAAATATCTGCAATAACTGTAAGTCTACATGTTCATATTCCTGACATAACCATAATACCAACCTTTAATGTATTTCATCAATAATAATTCTGATAGGCCTATTGGTTCTTTTAACTCAAAAGTACAATGTAATTTTCATTTAATATTTACTAAAACTTAAATGGTCTTTATCAATCACCAAACACAATTGTCACTCAACAGATATTAAACAAATGAAGAAAAGAGGACTGTCACCCCATATTGGCTGCAAATTGAAGATTCACTTTTTATTGATAAAATCCAAATTCAGTTTTATTTAAAATCCAAAACAGAGTGAAAGTAACAGAGAAACATCCCATGAACAATACTTTTGAAATTGACATAGATTCAGTTCTATTTATTTCAAAGGGGGGATTCAAACAAGGATCGTAATTATCAAAAATTTGTTTCGAATGGTGAAAGTTTGCAAATAGGATAAACATGTCATGGGAATTGATATAAATCATAATTCAATTCTTGTCGATTTCGAACAACTCTCTATTCTTTCTGTGATTGGAAAACAAGGGAAGTTATATTTTCACTTCCACCTGAACAACATCACTTGTAGCAATAGGTGGGTGATTTGGTACATCACTTGTAGCAATAGGTGTGTGATTTGGTACATCATTTGTAGCAATAGGTTGATGATTAGGTACTGATTTATTCTAATAAAATGCAATGACTCCTTTACCCCTTTCATGATTAAAGTTTGTAACTTAAACGAAAGTCTTTAACGAAAACAATGTATTTTACTAATTCATTTTTTTCCAGTCAAATATTCCAGGTATCATAAAATAATAGAACTTTGGGGATTATCAATTTGTTCAATGATTTAGAAACTGCAGGTACCATTTATTAATCTAACATCACAGAAACTTACCAGTTGATGATGTCATTTCATTTTCAGAATCTGATAAATGCCTCTTTCTTGATAGCCGTACACTATTAAAAAAATTTTTTTGTTGCAGAGTAGAATTGCTTGTTTAACCAGTAAAATAGTGAAAAACATGATGCAAGAAGAGTAAAGGAGTGTTTATTTAATAACATCATACCTTTAATCTCTTCCTCACTTTCTTCAGAGCTCTGTTGATTTTCGCACCATCCAACTATTTGAACATAAAACCGTAACATTAAGCAGAATATTTGGCATGAAATGAATCACATTAAAGGTTTAAAGACTTTGAGCTTTACATTGAAGATCACTTGAGAAATGTGAAACTATTTTAATTACCTTCATCTTGGCAAATTTCAGCAGCAGCATCAGATTCATCATTATTCTCTTCATCGTCGTCTTCATTCTCTTCATTCTTATCAGTGATTTTCAGTATAATATCTGTTAAGATATAATGAGGCATATTCAATACTATATATATATTACTTGGATAGAAAAGTGGGCTTTAAATTGATTTGAAAACAATAATGGATCTCTAATTATTTGCAAAGTTTTCAGCTCTGGAAAACATGATATGTGCGAAAAATGGTCTTTAAAAACTTTTGACACGTTAGTGAACAACTGGTTGACTAGCAAGATACGCCCACTTCCCTGATAAATTCTTAGTACAATGTATATCAATTTGTGTTAAATGGTTCCAACAATCTAAATATTGTTGACTTCTTTTGATCACAAAATTAAATGAAATTCTGAAAGGCAATAATTCAATTCGTTAATCGAAAAATCGTCAATTTCAGACTCGTGAAATTCCAACTTGTCCAAGATCTTAACAATACAAATAATCAAACCAGATTTTATTCAAATCAGATGAAAATTGTAGTCTCTATCGCGTTCACAAGCCAATTGTGATGCGTTTTGACTAAGTCAAGGGCGAATACTCGTAACCTATTCATCGGAAAATCGTCAAATTTGAACTTGTCTAAGATCTCATGAATACAAATGATTTTCAATAGGGTGTATTCTTGGGTGATAACAAACAATCATGCCACGTTTCGTCAAATTCCGTCAAGAATTGTTCCTTCTAGAGTGTTTACAAGCTAAAAATTGAACGCGTTTTCAAGAACAATGGCAATAACTCATACTAAATATTTTTCGATTCTTCTGATTTTCATCCGTGGTGATTACTAACACTCACACCAAGTTTCGTCAAAATCCGAATTGTGTTTTGTAGAGTGTTTACGAGCAATTGTGGACGGACGGACCGACGGATGGGGATGGTGACGGCAATATACGCCCCCCATTTCATGTGGGCGTGTAAAAATTACCTCTTGTATACACCTGAACTTGCATATTGGGGTCAACCTGCTTTTTTTTTTATTACAGGTAAGGATCCTTCCTTTTGTCCCTATGTAAAAGGAAATAAGCATTAGATGACAGAAAAGCAACCAAACAACTAAACGGTTTGGTAGTTTCCTCAAATGTTTATAATCATATACTTACTAGAATCAAACATTTCTGACAACAGAGTTCATACAGATCATCTGAGCAAATTTCCTTGACATCTGCATGACTTTCCAGACAATATTTTATCATTTTCCATGACCAATTTCACAAAAATCATGGATGGAAAGAACCACCAAGGCCGAATATATTTGTACACTTATTGGCCAAGATTAAGAACAATGTTTCGTTTATTTCAAGAGGTGATATCCAGGAATCATACAGAGCACATTTTATCATTTTCCATGACTAATTTAATAAGAATAAAGACGGAACAGGTAACTTAAAATATTCTTGATCATGATATTTTTATTTACTAACTAAAAAAGATCAATAAAATTAGAGGCCGGTATGAAATATCATTTTTCCAGATCATTTTGACAATTTTCCAGAATTGTCATGACTGTCCCTGATATCCCTATACAGTTTTATTATTCCTATTATTAAAGAGGTGGGAACCTGGGGGACTTCTCACTAAATTCTTAAGTCTGACTTACATAAGAAAAAATCCAACATTTGTGTTTCAAAAAGAAATCTAAGCATAACTTACGACAGAAATACTCTGTCATAACTTTTTCTTAAATAAAAAAAAATGCTTCAAGATAGGTGAACTTTTCTGTCGTGAAAACTCAAAAAAATATGCAATGTTTTGGTATTTATAACTTTGTAAACATGCAGCATACCTGATCTCTGCTCGAAAGGTACAACGTCTGCATGACAGATCAATCGCATTCCTAACATAAAGCCTAATTGTATGGGAGAACATGAACTTTTTTCTCAGGCTTATTACATTTAATGACTTCACTAAAATTTACATTATTTCTTTTATGTTGTAGATACCTCGTAAACTGTCCTAAAGAGGTTGTTTTCAAATCGTATGACTACAAAGTACCAATTCCAGATAATTTGAAAAATTGATGTGAATCTATACTTAATATGATTAAGGAGAGTAGTATATGAGCTCATAGATTGGTCGCATTTTTCCACATTCCATTTCATTTCATGGGAAAAATGCGACCAATCTATGAACTCCCAAAAAAAAGACCGAAATTCCCTACATTTCAAGCCTTACCGTTAAAAACTCCATGGCAGCTGGACCCTAACACAGATCGCCTCCGATAAGTGTGTAGATATCCAAACCATTAAATCAAAATAAAACCTAGAAGACGGAAAGAACCGTTAAAAACTCCATGGCAGCTGGACCCTAACACAGAAAAGTCTTGAATAATGAAGCCTTACAAGTAATGTAAGCAGATATAAATATTTATATTATTTATATTCACTTTAAATTTGTAAACATTTATATGTCCCCTCGTATTAGGACAGCAATTCTGATTGTCAATAGACATGGTACGACCTTGAGCATCAGGATCGTATGTAGTAGTCATAGTAGGCTGTTCATAGGTAAGAGAGTTAGCACCATTATTCCTCAGCCAGTACACAAGAGTCACATGCCGGATCTTCACTTCATCAAACAAATTAAGATAGGATGAAGTCTGAGTCTTTATCGAACCAGTAATTCCAACACAGATTAGAAGTGTAGATTCCTTTAGATCCAAGGTTGAATTCATGAGAAGATTTATGTTCAGAATGAACAATTCCTTTGTAAATTCTCTTCATAAAGCTAGATCTTCTACGATATGACCTTCTACGAACTGGAGCACGCCTACGTCTATGGAAATACCTCCTACGACGATTAAAAGACCTCTTCTTAGCATAAAAACGCCTTCGGTTAAAGAAACGTCTTTTCCCCATGAATGCCATCTTTAATGTCACTTTAAACTGCAACTGACGTTACTAAGGAACATGACGTCAAACAGGAACCAAAATGACGTCAAAAATCTTTTATTGATTATCAGAAGTCCTCTCTCAAAATTGTAAACAAACAAAGGGACGTAACTCATTGCTTATCAGACTACAAAACATTTTGCTATCAATTTTATAATCTGACTTTTGTGATACGGAACAGGTACAAAACTGCTGTCCTTGTTTGAGAAGAGGAAAATGTGGAAGTTGTGTTTGCAGTAAAAAAGGTGGATGTGTCGACAACTGTCGAAATATGGGATGCAGATATAAATTGCAAGATAACAAGGTAACATATCATTCTCAATTTTTTTATTTATCTCTATTTCCATGTATCTAATTCTAATATATCATAATACTATCATTGTTCGTTTTTCTGTAAACCTATTTGACAACGTCTAAAGCTTTCCGTGCCCTAATTTTCAGACCAAAACTTCACAGAACAGGGCAACAACGTCACGGTACCATCCTTATGCTTCCTCAAGCAACAGAAACTGTGGTGAAACAAGCAGGAATACAGAGCTTCATGAAAGGTGTATACCTGCAGAGAAAGAAGACGAAGAGAAAAAGAAAATTATAATGGTAAATAATATTTTGACATAATATTCATGAACAATCCATGTATTCACAAATATTTCCTGAATGCTTCTGAATTTATCATTACAGGAAAAGGTTGATAATATGTCATTAGAACAGTTACGTGACAAAGTCAAGGAAGCAGCACATGTCTTCCAGATCACCTATTTCCATTTTTTGATTCGGAATCATCAAGCACCCTCCCACGTC